GGAGGAGGCCCTCGCAACGGTGGTGGGCGGCCGCCACCCACCTGCCGGCTCCCAAGGACGAGTCACGACAGGTGGAGCACACCCCTGTGGTAGAACATCTGCTCCGTCCTGGCCAGGCCTCCACCTGCCTTTTTTATGGGAAGCAGTGTGAGTTAGGGGCCTAGCAGCTGGGGTTTCTGAATGGCTTGATGCGTGTCGGCAATCTCCGGGCACTGAGCTCTTCACGGGGCGCTCAGTTCACCTTCCGTTTGTTTTAGGGCAAAGAAAACCATCGTGTGTGCTCTGACAGTGCAGCGGAAAGTAGGTGACCAGACAGATCCCTCTTTTCCTTTTTAACAACAACAACAAATAAAAATGTTTAAAGCACATAAAAGCTGGTACAGGAGAAATGACTGAAAAAAACAACTGTTTTTAGCTCCAGTAGAACCACCCACGTGCGCACGTGTGTGTGTGTGTGTGTGTGTGTGTGTGTGTGTGTGTGTGTGTGGTGCTGGTGGTGGGTGTAGATGTTTTGCTTTTGAGAGAAGCTGCCTCAGAAAAGGGGGTGATAGCTGTGCTCTTTCCACCCTCCCCTTGGAAACCCCATGGCTGTGCTCTTAATGGGTGAAACTAGCGAGGACCAGGCGAAGGGGGCGTTGGTGGAATTAGGAAGGGAGGGAAGGCAGGCACAGGTGCCAACAGCAGGCCTGTGTCCGCCACCCTCCCAGCATCAGCTCTTGGGCACCACGTGACCTTCGTGACCTTCTTAGTCAGTATTAAAAAGCAACGTGCACGTACCCATGGATTTGCAGTGCAGCTAGTGAGTGCCATCTGGAAGCTCTCAGAACCAAGGGCTGAGGTGGTGTGTGTGAGGCAGCAGCCACACTCTGGTCACCAGGTCCTGGTCTCAACACCTTGCCTCTCAGCTGGTGTGCTGTGGTGTCTCCATGTACAAAATTCGCAGGCACTATAGCTTCCTTTCCTTCCTTGTAGGATGCTGCACATATCCAGGTTAGTGTCTGTGCAGGTGCCGAGAAGCCAGAGGGCTGAGTGACTAAGTGCTTTGCTCAGTCCTTGACATGAGATTTCAGATCCTTCGTTGCTTTCAGAAAACGTGAGTTCAGAAACTTTGCCTAAACGCCAGGCATTGAGCAGGGCAGACACATTAGACAATATACAAACTCCGACAATGCCCTTTCTGTTTGCGCTGCTGTCAGTCGTCATACAAAACCCCTACGTGACCCCGAGAGACAGGACTTAGCTGTTGCACTGCAACATGAGGCTTCATGTCAGCCTTCTCAAAGTCGCGATCCACAAGAAGAAACTCGTTATATGAAAGTACATTTTACTGTAAAAAGGGCACCTCACCTTTGTTTGTACCACTACTGCTGAAGAACAGAACAATTGTCTTCTTAGGAAGAACTTGGGTAATATTTACAGATAATGTGCATGCAGGTAAAAGCTATACATGTTAGCTTTTGTATTTTTTAAAAAAACGCTCATTTCCCTTTCACTCAATGTCAGATATGTGTATAGAGGTGGATTTGGGGGTGGAGGACACGCACACACATCCTGCGTATACATCCCGGATTAGAACAAGAGTTCAATCTGCCACATAAGTTTTAGAAAAAAAGCAATAGTTTCCACCTTAGGAGCATTTTAGAGAAAAAATTAAATATAAGGGAAAAAACCCTTCTTATTAAATCAAATTGTGGTGTAACAGCTCACCACATCCTGTTGAGGGACATCTGACGTGAAGCCAGGCAAAGGTTCCGCTTTCAGGTCTCTGACGAGCTGTGAAGGTCACATGGTATCTGCTGTTCAAAATACCTCTATAAAGAAAAGCCTCGGTGTAGGTGGAAAAGCTGAATAAGAAATGGAAACTATCAGCAGAAAGAATACATTGTGGGGATGCGTGGGTGTCACCGACCCAACCATATCAAAGAGAGAAAGCCACTCCCGAAATAGCCCTAGCAGAGCCCGGGGTGGCTGTGCACTGATACGGACCCGGAACCGTGACCTCATGGAAGAGAAATAGGAAGTTGCGGCCAGGAGAGGAGCGGGGCAAGAGGGTCCCTGGTTTTCATCCTCGGCCCGGTCATCAGAGAAACACTTAACCTTTGTCAGCCCTTCTGGGATGGGTTCTTCGTCCGTCCGTGAAACGGGAACCCCAGTGGCTCTCCTGACTCAGTTACAACACAGGCTGTAGCTGTGGGAGAGAGGGTAGCGTTATGTTCGTCGGTCCTCAGTTGTGTAGACAGTTGTGTGGGACTTGGCCCACTCTGCATGTCATGGTTATCCGTCCTCAGCTGTGTCTCGAACATTGTGGGGGCCATCATCCACTCGGCAGTGTATGGTTGTCCATCATGGCTTGCTGCCTGATGCCCTCAGTCCCATGGAGTGCTGAGGGGAGATTCTAGAGGATGTTGACACATGTGTGATGGTTCTCGAGTGAGTCCCAAGATGTCTGAAACACTGTGATCTTGATTCCCACTTGACGTTACTGGGCTTGGAAAAGCAGGGTCTGATGACCCAGCACTTCTGGCGCCGTGTTCTTGGAAGGGCCAGTTGCTCATCAGAAACCAGTGCACAACAATGACAGTTGAGAACTTTGTTCACTGGGGGGGCCTTCCAGCCTCCTTGTTCTCCTGATGCCCCAAGGGGGTCAGAGAGCCGGGCCAGCACCAAAGTAGCCACATGGGAACCAGGGCCTAGGATGGCTCAGGACACGCTGAGTGGTTTCCACACTCACACCCACCTCAGGAGCTCCCGCCAGGTTCAGGTGCGACCGTGGGCAGTAGGGGAAGCCCACTTCTGAAGTTTCTTCCCCTCTTATCTTGTCAAACAGGTGTTATTTTCCTGTGGTCTGTGTCACCTTGAGGAACCAGATTATAGTTGCTTTGCGTATTGCCTCCCTCCTCCTCTCCATCAGTATTTCCCTCAGACCCTCCTCTTCTCCACCATTATTTCTCTCAGACCTTTTCAACCACAGAATCACCATTCTTACTACTAGATCAGATTTGTGGTCTGGGACTTTTGTTACCCCTGGAAATGGGGTGGGAAATAAAACCCTTCTCTTGCTGTAGGGTAACTGAAGGAGCCATTGCTTCTTCAGTTGGGACCCTTTTCTCTGCCTGGTACGTCGAGGCTGGTCAGCACCCTGGATTGAGTCTCCCTCTGCCATCCATTTCCACCTTCCCTGTGCTCCTGCCGCCCAGCGGAGGAATGCTGTCCTAGGAGCCCAGACCTCGCCATCTTGGCCCCAAACCTGTTGCTGCCCCTTGGCCTCGGGTCTATTGTAGGAATAAATGAGATGATGAGCCTGAAAGCAGCTGTGAGCAGCCCGGTGCTGCAGAAATAAATAGTCTTGGTGCCACAGTGTCGTGTTGTGACTTGTCTCCGTCACCTCACCGGGGACTCACTTTCTGCCCACAAGACCCAACGTCTTTCTAAGTATGTTCCACATTCTCTCTCCCGTGCGAGACACCTCACTGTAGTAAGCCTTCTGCTTACCCGACACACCCTGTAGAAACTCAGCAGTTGTGATTTTTTCTTTGTCAAAATGTTCTTTGATGTGGCAATGTCCTGCCAAATAACAAATGGACACGTGTCCCACGGAAGAAGGAGCATAACGAGTGAAATGGGAGAGAATAGACATCGCCTGTGCGTCCTGGGCCCCTGTCTGTGCTTCAGCAAGCACCTCGGCCCAGAGGTCATGGGGGCAGATGCCTGGGAGGATGAGGAGCAAGCTGCCTGGCCTGACGGGCATGGCAGAGCTGCCCTCCCTTCTCCACGGTGCCCAGGGCTGTGGTGGAAAAGCCACCTGCAGCTAAGGAACCGCCTCATGCACGCTCTCAGCAAGTGTTGTCCTGATATCTGCTCTGAGCCCTGGACGTCGATATTGCCCCAGTGGCAGCTGTGATGAGCCCTTCCCATGTGTCCCAGCCACTGGTTCACCATCTTCAGAGGAGCTGCTGCATGTCACTTCCCTGTCTCAGGCTGGGCCTCGGTGTGTCCTCTGCGGGCAGCCGGCTGGAGCCCCTCACCCAGGCCACAGGTGGGCTCGGGGAGAGGTGGACACCGTGGCCCTGGGTCCCAAACCCTTTGGGAAGAGCCAGGGTTTGAAGTTTGCTGTTCAGGTTTCTGCCAGTGAGTTCTGTTATCAGGTCCCATGACACAATTCCTGGTTCCCCCAACTGTGTTTTATTATTGTTATTCTTAAAAATAGTTGGGGGAGGGGAGGTTGTTGAAAGGGAATGCAGGGGAGGGAGTGGGAGAGATGAAATGTGCGCCGACTAATTGCTCAGGAAGCCGCCCTCGGATAGGCCGGGGCCTTTGCAGAAACACACGGCGTTTATCTGGGCAGCAGAGGGAAGCCTGGCAGTTCCGTGACGTGAGCACACGCTCCCCGCCTCCCAGTTCTGTCAGGAAAGTGACCGTGGTGACACCTCCCCGGTGACATTTCCCTATCGGGGTGCCCATCGGCGGTGGAGGGAGGGGTGTTGTGCAGCTCCCACTCGGTGGCCTTTGCTCATTTCCTCTCCGGCTGCCAAAAATCACAGGCTGATAGTGGCCGTGGACAGAGATGAAGGAAGAGACCCCACAGCGGGCGCCCCTGCTGCGGGCGCCGGCCCCTTTCCAACTGGATGGTGAGGCTGAGGAGTGGCCACCGAGCGTGGCCTTCCATAGGTGCTTCCATGTGGGTGCCAGTTGTTGGTGTTGTGGACCCACGACCACCTCCGGAGTGCTCTCCCGCCGGGAGAAGGCGCCCTGGGGACCCGGGGAGCCCCTGGGGCACCGTGAGCAGGAACGGCACGGCCCCCCACGCCTGAGTCACGGCAGCCGCGCTGCTGGCCAGGACATTTGCAGACATGGCGAGAGGCAGGAAGAAAGCCGGTTCCTTTTCACAGGCTGCACTTAACGTCCGAGAGCGTGGCCGATGGAATTGCTGGTTATTCACACGCAGTTCCACGCACAGTGGTGTCCTCCTAACGTGCTCTCTCGTTTTTGTTTTCTTGCAGTAAACGAAATAATACGCAACGACCTCTCCAGCACCAGCACCCACTCGTAGTCGGCAACATCGGACTCACTCGGGAGCCACATGGTGTTGATGGGTGACCGTGGAGGTTCAGCATCCAGACTTCTGACTCAATAAACTGAACACACCTGGCACCACACAGAACTTCCGACTTACTGGAGATGTTTTATACAACAAGAAGTAGCTCTTTCACGGAAGGAAAGAAGGAAGGAAGGAAGGAAGGAAGGAAGGAAGGAAGGAAGGAAGGAAGGAAGGAAGGAAGGAAGGAAGGAAGGAAGGAAAGGCCACTCCATCTGCTGAAGGAAAAGTCATCTCAAGAAGAAAGTACAGGGGTGGGGTGGGGTGAGTATAGGAAACAGACTGTGTGACAGCACCCCCATGGGAATGACCCCCGTGGCAGCCTGACCCCAATGCGTCCTCGGGCACCCCTGGATTTCAGTACTGGAAGTGCCTTATTTAATCCAACCACAGCATCAGGGCCTCATAGACCTAAGCATTAAACTTGCTACCCCAGGAGAGTATTTATTGGAGCAAAGCTATAAAAACATTTCATCCAGAGGCTTTATCAAACTCTGCAAAAAAGTTAAGAGAGTACTGGCAAGCTAGGCATTTGTGAGGAAAACCTAACACTCATTTCCTGCTTTATTTCAACTTTCCCTGGGCGGCTGTACCATATAGTTTTGTTGCCTTATTCAGTGCGTTGTAGGGATCTTCCAGTGTTTCATCTCAGCTCTTTCATAATGCCCTTCCCTCCCCTGTCTTACTAAAACCATAGGACTGTTCATTGTAGCATGCTAGCATTTTGTTTTTAATCTGGCTTTGAACATAGCACAAGTAGGTCGAATAGCACGAGATAGGTTATTGGACAAGAAAAGAAACCTGTCACAGGACAGGTCTTGCATTTGCATGCATGTACATAGATAGGCACGTATTTATGTATAAATAATAAATAACAGGTGGTTTCTGGTCTTTGCCCAGCAAGGGCTTCTGCGCCAGCAATAACCAGTGTCCAAACCTGGCTCTTCAGCTCCTCCCGCTGGGCCCGTCACCCCCGACAAGCCTGCGTCTTTCTCGACTCCTGCAGATAACAGAGCACTTTGGAAGCCGGGGGTGGTGCGCTCAGAACAGCCTGGGTTACCAGTGGCGAAATCGGAACGTAACTGTAAATAACATTATGAAGGGAGTGTAATATATTTGTTCAGCTATAAGATTATTATTTCACAGAAGCCTTATAACTCAGCTTCCTGTAAGAAAACGATTACCAAAAACGTTTGTAATACGCAGCGACTGTCGTAGGTTTCAGACTAGTGACTGTTTAACAGATAGGGTAGTGTAAGCTTTACGACTGCATTTTGTACCATTAACAGCTTCTTACGCGTTACTCCTAGCCACAATTTATTGTCTCACATAACCAAAAAAAAATGAAGCATGGTTTAATTAAAACATGTTTTAACCTGCTACTTGTGCCTTAGGAAGTTATGCCCCCTCCTGGAACCTGCCGGAACTGCAGCCGCGGGTGCAGGGTGTAGGTCATCCCTGAACCTAACGTGACGGTGGAGATTCTCCCGCCGAATAACTTTAAAAAGTTATTTTTAAAGTGTTCTCCTGTATGATGATGTCTTACTTTTTTAACTCGACAAAAGGAACGAAAAACCAGGAAGCCATATCTGTCACATTTGCACATGTCGGTGAAGAACTGAAGATCTATGGCTCCGTGTACATACATACGGTCCTGCCTTCCCTCCCGCGGGCGACGCTCCTGCCTGTGACCCCGCGTGTGGCCCCGTAGGCTTGCATGAGACATTTCTGATGGATGTCATGTGGAAAGGGAATGTTTGATCTTTGTGTCCGCTCTCTCTGTAGTTAGGAAATAGACCCAATTAAAGCAATACTTTCTCGCTGGACACTCGGGGCCGAGAGTGAGTCATTCCCGGGTGGAAAGTCTGCCTCGCCGGGAAGCGTGTTCGCCGCTGCAGGGACTTGTACCTGTGAGAGGTGCTTTGTGTCGTGAAGCTGCGCTGATACGATCTATCGCTGAGCCTGGAGGCGCGCCTTGCCGACTGCTCCTCTCTCCTCCTCCTGTGTGCAAAGGGAGCCTCGCGGACGTGGGCGGACGGCGGAGCCAGCTGCTGCGAGCACGGCATCCAGGCCGTGTGGGAGAGGGAGCGCGATCCTGCCAAATATCTGTGCTCAGAGAAATCGCCTGGGTGAGGCTCTGGCCACACACATACCCGCGTGCCATTTGACCATTGTTCCAGCAAGACGATGTGTGTGTGCGCGTAAACCCGTCTCCTTCCCCTCGCTCCCGAAGCCACCCCTTCTCCTTCCCTCCCCCCAACCTCCCCGTCAGCTCTGGCAGGAAGTAGCCTTTGTCCTTCGTAAGTCAAGGGTGAAACCTGGAGCTTCCAGGAGTTACCGTTTTAAATGGTCAGAACCAATCCTTTCTTCTAGGACATTTCTAACGCAAGCATCCCTGTCTCCTTTGCTAAGAGGGTTACAGATGGAGACCAGCACGGGGGGACCCTCGTCCCCAAACGCCACGTCCATCCACCAGGTGTCCACGCTGTGCCTGAAGGAAGCCACACAACCCACAGGGAGCTCCATGGGGAGAAGGGGACCCAGAGGAGAGTCTGGCGGCCATTGGGGGAGAAAGAGGACAGGAAGTGCCCTTGAGGCCCAGCGGTGTCCCCAGTTGGAGCCTGGCACAGACTTGGAATGCTGGACCCATAGGGCATCCAAGATCCCCAGGTACAGAGGGGGTTGGGACCCCCACACCCCTCCTGAGAGCAGGCCCTCCAGGTTCGGAGAATGAGGCTTGTCTCTGAAGAAGACACTAGAGCCTGTTAGTTCCAAAGCGAGTTTTATAAACTGGTTTCCCCTTTATTGCAAACAACACTTTAATATTCCAGAAATAAAGATGTAAATCTTAAAATGATGGAGGTTTCTCCGAGGTTGGTTCTAAGTAATAAGGAAATAACACCTAGTTGCCCATTTCCAACAGCAAGCAGGTAGGTTTTGCACACATGCTTGTAGACCAATCGAAGACTGTGTTTGTCTGGGGTGCTGGGACAGATGTCCACTTAGCCAAAGCTGACCCACCCTCTGGAGTGTTGGGGTCCCTTGCCTCTCATGGTGTCCTCAGGGATGGAGACCATGCAAGAACCCGAACACAGGCACCTCCCCCAGAGCTGGAGCCACGTTACACACCACCACCACCACCACCCACTTCACCCTCATGCCCCTCAGCCCCGTAACTCCAGCTCTTCCCGGGTCTGAGATGATGGGGCATGAGAAACATCCTGACAAACATCAAATTTCTCTTGTCCCCAAATGCAGCCTAAGCAAGCGTCTGGCCATTTGAGCACCCTCTCCGTCCCAAGGTGTTTCCTCCTCAGAGTAGCCAAAGTCCCCCCAGCTGGTGGGACAACTTTCCACAGCCCCCACCCCCACTTCAGGGAGGGACCTGTCAAAACCAGCTGTTTCTGCTAACCCTGTGGTACTGCCGTCTGTGTCCCAATCAATGAAGTCACCGGGGGTGTCTGTGTGACTCTAACTAAACATTTCTTTAGACATGTGTTCTGTTTGGTTGGTGTGTTTGGAGAAGACATAGCAGGCAAAGAGACGGGAGAGGCTGATGCTGAGTTGAGTGGCCTCTGTGTGGGAGGAGTCCTTGCTCGGTGGTGGTGGTTTTAAGGTAAAGCTCTGGCTGGTGTTCTCAGTGGTTAGAGCGTCAGCCGGTGCGATGAAGGGTCATGGTTCAATTTCCGGTCTAGGGCGCTGACCCAGGTTGCAGGTTCCATCTCCAGTTGGAGGCAACCAACCGATGTGTCTCTCTCACATTGATGTTCCTCTCGGTCCCTCCCCCACTCCCTTCTACTCTCTCTCTCTCTCTCTGAAGATCAGGGGGGAAATATCCTCAGGTGAGGATTAACAACAACAACATTAAGACAAAATTCACCTAAGATGAAATCAACCAAAGTGGACAATTCAGTGGTATTTAGTGCATTCACAATGTTATATAACCACCAACTCTACCTAGTTCCAAAATTTCTACATCCCCAGAAGGAAACCCTGTACCTCTTGCTCCCCAGACCCCTGGGGACCACTGTTAACTGGGTCTCTGTGGATTTGCGCATTCTGGGTGCTTTGTATTCGTGGAATCATGCAACGTGCAGCCTTTGCGACCAGCTCCTTTCACTGAGCCTCGTGGTTTCAAGGTTCATCCCCCTCATAGCATTTATCAGAGCTTCGTGCCTTCTTGTGGCCGAATGCTTGTCCACTGTACGTTAACCCACAGTTTGTCTACCCATCGTCCGGGGACATCGGGGGATGTCCCCTGTTTGGCTGGTGTGAGCTGTGCTGCTGTGAGCATTCGTTACAAACCTTTATTGGAGTCCCTGTGTTCCGTTCTTTGGGTACTTCCCGATGGGAGAGTTGTGGAGAAGACGGTAATTGTGTGTGTTACTTTTTGAAGAACTGTTTTTCCTTGCTCGGTAAGTTATGCATCCCCAAGACAAGCACGGGATTGCTAACCTAATTTGGAATCACATATGTGAAGCGCGTTGTATTTGGCATAATTCTTTATGCCAAAATAATTAACTTAGCTATCAGATGACTAAATGCTCCTTTGCACCCAAGCAGAAAGCAGCCCTCGCTCACGCCCGCTCTGCTCCTGCTGGGCCCGTCAGCCCTGGGCTCTGCAGGGGGAGGAGGTGCCTCGGCTCCCAGGGTCTGACTCATTCAGCTGGTGCCAGCGGAGCCCAGGTTCCACGGTTTTGTTTTATTTGCACAGACAAATTAAAATGGCGGAGCAAAGAGCCTTGGCGAAGACCATGCCTGCTGTGAGAAGTGGGCCCGGCGAGCCGTTAGGTGACGGAGCCACAGCAGGGCTTGCACCACCTCCACTCAGGGTACAGCTCAGCCCCAACCTTTCCGCACAGAAAGCCGAAAAGCCGCGAGGTGTGGTCTTCGGACAGTGGTCGTTTTCCACCTGACCATCCTGTCTGTGGCCGAATGTCTCAGCTTCCGCGCAG